CCAGATCACAGACTTACCTTGACCCTTCACAGATTCCTTCAGATGAGCGGCATGATTTTTGGAAGGTTCGGCCATTTCTTGTCCCCCATCTCCCGACCACAGTATTGGCAGGCTGACTCGAGCCACCGCGCACGCACTCACAGCATGGTCGAAGCCGACCGCCGCCTGATCCAACACGAGCAACTGATGCGCGCGCAAAAGCGTCGTGTGCGTGACGCCGAAATGTGGCGCCGCTACGAGGAGGACTTTGACGATGTTGACTTGGAGCCAACGACGGCGACCAAGAAGCCCCCATCTGCTGCAGGAGGAGGAGATGCCGGTGGGCCGCAGCAAGCAAAGTAGATGAAGCCATGAGGCCGCGACTGGTAATTGCATGAATTCTGAAGATTGGCGACTCGATGCTGTGAGCACGGCAGAAGTTGGTTGTCTGAGTATTGACCGCGTGTTGCAGACTGAATGATACGTTCGACGGAGACTTCGGTCTCAATTTCCTCGTCTTCCCTTTCAAGCCGCGCACTTTCAAGACCAGGCTGCACATCTTTTTGCTCGACTTGACTTGTTGTTCACTACAAGACACCACGGCAGACATGCGGAACGCAAGCAGAGAAGCAGGCACTCAGCAATCCTTCTTTGCTCCTCGACCTCAAGCAGTAGAAGCAAAACTTGTATATACACGAACATGAACCCTTCGCACCAACCCTAACCTATCACGCATCATCCGCTCTCCTTCTCCCGTCTCCCACTAGCCGCCCCTAGTGGAGTCCGATCAACGACACCAGATTCTCGTACCACTTGTACAGCGCCGAAGCGTCCTCACTGTTGTAAGTGGTGGTGCTGTCACTGGCCGCAGCCGCCGCTGATGTGGTCGCTGCAGCGGGAGCGCTAGAGCTCGCCAACGTCACCAGAGTGGATGGAGCAGGGGGCGTCGAAACGGCAGCCGGGGTGCTCACAACAGCAGGAGAGGAAACAGCAGCTGGCGATGATGCAGCAACAGAAGACGAGACAGCTGCCGGAGTCGACACAACAGCCGCAGCCGCGGCAGAGGCACCGGAAGAAGAGCCAGCAGCAGAAGACGAGGACGACTTGCCGCCGGCAACCGACGTCGTCAGGTCGCCATTTTCAATGTACACGCCGGAAAAGTACCAGTCCTCCTTGGTGTCGTCGGTGCCAGCATTGAGGCGGAGGACACCCAGGTGCCAGTCGGCGCCGTTGGACGAGGCATCGACGCTGACGGGACCAGCAACCTTCTTGAGGTCGTCGGCGCCCGTCGAGTGGTAGTACGACACCTTGCCGCCCGAAAAGTCGATTTCATAGGCGACATTATGCCAGACGCCAGGCTCGAGCGTGGCGTTCCACTGGCTCTCCGAGTTTGCGTACCATTTCAGGGCCGGGTCGGAGGAGCCGCTCTCGCCGCTACTGAGGCCATACTTGAGCTCGGTAAAGTGGCTCTCGAAGAAGCAGACCTGGTGCTCGTAGCCGGCGTTGGGCGCATTCGCGGCCTTGCGCATGAGCGAAAAGTGGTAGTAGACGGTGCCCTCGTTGATGGCGGCGTCGGTCTGGGGAATCAGCTCGGTCCGCAGCATGCCGCCACTGTTCCACTGCGACGTCGAGTCGATGCTGATCTTGGCTCCCAGGTCCGATGCCGAGTCGGCGGGATTCTTGAAGTCGGCTGCAAAGTTGACGTACGAGGCCAGCTTCCCCGAGCCGTGGATGTAGTACTGGTACGCGCCCGCCTGGTTGGACCACGACCAATTCTCAAGGTTGCTCTCGGTCTTTGCGTTGAAGCGGCCGTCCCAGAGCGTGGTGCCCGCCGCGGCGTATCCGGCGAGCCCGGCCAGAAGAATGCTCGTTGAAGCGTACATGTTGCTGGAATGAATGAAGGTGGTTTGTGTGAGGTGAAAAGAATGACTGTAACGAGATCAACTCGTAGCAAAGCAAACGGCTCGGCGCAAGCAGAAGAGAAAGAAGGACTTGTTGAAGGCAATTCGACAACCGGCTAGCGGAGTGGAGAAGTGGAGGAAAACAAGACAAACGAAACAGACCGACAGGAGGGCGCCATTTCAACAGGTATATTGTGGCGGTCAGAGTCGTCGAGTCGAAGCAGCAGCGAAGCGAGCGTCGAGACCGGGCCCGGATGAAACGCGCAAGGCAAGCGATGGGACGAGACGAGGACGCCGTGATAGCCGCCTGGCCTGCTGTCTGTGTCTCCAAACTGCACGGTCCCCCAATCCCCGCGCTGATCCACCACCCCTACTCTCGCTGGATGTGTCAGGTTGATGCTCCACGCCGGCGGGCTCTGGCGCGTTGACCCGTAAAGGAGGCGATTCGACGCGTCTTTCGGGAAAAATTGTCTCCGTGTCGTTGTCAGCCTCCTCGACAATATTCATTGTGAGCCTTCTTCTATTCAGGCCTGCCGGTTTCCCGTATTCGGCAAGAATGGACTTGGCGCATCCAGAAACGGCAGTTCTACACCTCGGTATCAAACGGTCAAGGAGAACATATGAGGTTGCGTAAAAGATGGCATTTTCAAGAATCATCAAACGACCTTACCCTGTACTTCCAAACTCCCAGCATTACCAAATCATCATTGCGACTTTATAAAGCGCACAAACTCATTGTCTCGACACTGCATTAGCAAAATTGTCGTGAATCGGCAGGTCAACTCACAGTCAATGGCCCCATCGCCATTCAAGTCCGCCTGCTTGATAATCTCGTCAATCTCGGCATCGCTCAGCTTCTCTCCAAGCGATTTGAGCACGTGCGACAGCTCGCTCGCGTCAATCGTGCCGGTGCCGTCGCGGTCGAAGACAGCGAAGGCCTGGCGTAGCTCCTGCTCAGAGTCCATGCTCTTCGACTTGGCCGCCATCATTTTCAAAAACTCTGCAAGCACGCACACGCATGGTTAGACGGAGCAAGTAGTCGTCAAATTGGATGGCGGCAGTGTGGGGTGTGGCAGCAGCGCATCGGACGGATGGGCTACAGACCTTCAAAGTCAATCGACCCCGATGTGTCAACGTCCAGCTCGTTGACAATGTCGCGCAGCTCTTCTTCTGTCGGCTCCTGGCCAAGCGAGCGCATCACTTCGCCCAGCTCCTCCGCCGTGATGACGCCTGGCATAGCGCAGTCTGGTCAGAACGGAAAACGTAATGGTCGAGGCACTTTACCATCGCTATTCTTGTCCTGTGACAGGCGTTTCGTTAGCATCAGAAGGATCTCACCGCTTTGGGCACGAGTACTTACAAAGACTGAGAATGCGGCCCTAAAGTCGTCGAGCTGCTGCTGGCTCATTTCGGTAGACTGCGCGGTCAACTTTGTCAGTTTGCGTTTCTTGCTCGCGGATTACGGGACGACGTGCCATTTCGCCCTGCTCGTTGACAGCTGGCCTTTTGAGGTGGTCGACTGGGGCCGGGACAGGCAGAGGTATGAAGTTGGCTGGGCAGGCAAGGCTACCTAGGTTCCTTTGCTGTGGTGGCGGCACGGGATGCCGTTGAGGATTCCTTGACTTCGCAGGTGTGACGGGCCGGTCCGCTGGGCAGTCTGTCTGGGATGCCTGCGTATCCGTACTGAGCTGTCGCAAGATTGTAGCGAGCGGTGAGAGAAGGATGTGTGCTGGAACAGCGACAGACGAAGTTGCTTTCTAGAAAGACGGCCCCGCCTCCGCTCAAGTGTAAGGCAAGGTAGGTCACGTCACGCACTGTCGCATCTCTTGCCACTTCTACTTCTTTGCTGCTGCTATCGCTGCTGGTCTGCTGCCCCTCTTCTCTTTCCCCGCTGACACGTGTCTGATTGTACAGACTACAAATGCTATGCGTATCGGCCCCCCGTATTTGACCATTGCGGCCCCAAGGCCTTGGGCCGCAATCTTCGCAGAAGATCCCAAAAAGAGAATTCATGGCACAACATGTCCGTTCGTACCAAAAGCATATATCATTCATGCGGAGAGAAGGGAGAAGCGCGCAGCGCGTGCCAATCAAATTGCTGCTGACTCCGTTCGCGACAAGTTGGCCAGAGTAGGTCAAAATAGACTTTGGGCTGCCAACGCCAAAGACGCTGCCCATCCTGGACAACTTTAGCGCACGTGGCCAATCTCTTTTATTTACGCCTCCATCATCAATTCGCCATTCTCTTCAGCTACCAATCCGCTCTTTTGTTTCTGTTGCCGCCGCTCATGCCACCTGGAAAAAAGACAGTCTGTTCACATGCGCTGACGATGATCATACGTCGTGCAGACGCATCTTGCCTTCAGCGGATATGCAGTGCGTTGCGCCAAACTTCAATAGAGGCCTAGAACCGCGGCTGTGTGTCCAACCTTGCGCCAATGCAGCACTTGTTCCGCCGAGCAGCAACGAGCGGCGACACAAAAAAAAAAAAAAAAAAAACCCCCCAAATGCAGTGGCATTCATCTGATTCAGAATGGGTTCTTGAGCGTTGAACGTCATTCAACAATCAAGCTGTCGTACCTTGAGGTTATAACTTGCGGGTGGAGAGTTTGCAAATTCGACAAGCATTTCAAATGCCATTCGATCCAAGCAACACATCAGGTTGAAAGAGTTAGCATAAGCGCGCCAGTCCAAGAAGGACTGCAACCCGCTCTAACCATAGCGATCAAGAATTGTGTTCTCCGCAAAGTCGGCTTCTTCTATTGTTGAGTCACGCCATTTCCGTGGCTGATTTTCGAATTGGAGCTTACCATTTCTGTTCGTAGATCCACAGTAGCAGTCGCCGGCTGCAAACCTACCGTATTCGCCCAGCTTCACGGTGCTCCGGGGCAAATAACGCAAAGAGAACCACGCTGGAGAGCGGAAGGAAGAGGAGATGAAATAAGCCGGCACATATCAGAGGGCGATTTACAGTATGAGTATGATTCGTTGACACATCGCTTGAGTGTGTGACAATTGACATGAACGCCATTCCGCGGAAGCTCACAACTGCATGAGTTGGAGAAGGGGGGGGGGGGGGGGGCGGGAACGGGGGCCAAAAAAAGGGGGCAAAATTTCATCAGCGAAAGCCCGGAGTCGAACCGGGGTTGCCGGAATTTCTCTCATTTCAAAATCCGGAGTGATGAGACCACTACACTACTCTCGCTAATTAATCTATTCCTGGCCAGCTGACTGCAAATATAAACTATTCAAAAAATCCAAAGCATGCATTTCGGGTTATTCCTCATGGCATTCAGGAAAATCTCAGTCAGAGACGAGTATGTCAGATATCCAAGACTACGAGCTGTCATATTGAAGCGGCGGAATTGAAGTCTGGACGATATCATTGGCCTTGACTTTGGCGAGTGGATCGCCCACCAGCCTCGTTGCAAGATGGAATCGACCACCACACCGAACCTCCTCTCTTCCGAAGTGCTTCGGAGATGCAGTCCCGCATGAATGCAAATCCGAAATAACATAGAAACGCGGACCGGGCTACGATCCTGTGTATCAATTTCTGAACGAGCAAACCAGCGCTTGGAAGACGAACGTTGGGACACCACCACGGCGAAGGCGACTGACTCTGCGAGGCCGAGTGCGGCGAAGCCCAGACGGTAAGACTTTGCAATGTTGGGATCAGGATGCTCCTTCTTCCCAAGGTCTGATGACTGTTTCCGCCATGTGCAAGCACATCGTGGCCCTCTCTACCCAACCAGCGTCAATCGCACGCAAACACTGCGCAGATATTACAAACTTGCGCACTAGGGACAGGACAAACCGATGAAATAAAGGCACAGGTGCCCAGTGTTTCCACCTCCATTTCCAGCTTGTCATTACACTCGGGCGGACCCCAAACACCACGCTGCACCGTGCTGGAATCTTGGAATAGGTGGAAACCAAAGAGAGACGAAGCAAGGCCATACAGGCTCCAGTGTCAGCGCATCCACTATCTCCACACTGCGTAGTAGTGGAAACACGTTGATTGACAAACAAGGGCACAATTCCAATCAAATCTAGCACAATCCGCGCAGTGAAATTCTGGACAGCCATCTCGGATCTCATAAATCTAGCCACAAAAAAAACCTGGTGTTCGAATTTTGAGTTCTTGTCCGCGTCACAACTCCCGCCCATCCATTCATTCGGTAAATCGATTGCCCGCGGCGCCCAAAACGCCATTCGCTATGCAGCAGTGAACAAGCAAGCAAGCAAAACAAGCCAGCCAGTCAAGTAGATGGGAAGCTTTGAGCCCAAAAGCAAGAAAGCATCGCAGCGACAGGTAAGGAAAGGCGGACAATTTCGTTTCGACGCCAAACAGCTGGGCCGTCGGAGCTCTCCGAGGCGGAGTAGAGCAAGGTAGAGAGACTACTGCAGTAAAGTCCACTGCTAGCTCGCTCACTCAGAGCTCGATAGCATCTTCGATGCTATTCCCCGCGTTGCGATATTTAGACGCCGCAGGGTTGGCCTGTGGATTCTCCTCCTCTTCATCGTCGTCCACATCCCCCCCATCAGCACCAGCACTCTGGTCATCCTCTTGTCCTTCCCTTTGCTCACTGTATCCCTCATCGTCATCATCTCCCACTTCACTCGATTCATACTCATCGTCGTCAAATTCATCCTGCAATGCCGCTTCATCAATCTCGTCTTCGGCATCCTGGATCTCGTCGCTGCCGGTGAGGTAAAAGTCTTCCTCTGCCGTGCTCCTGCGCTCGCGTTGGCGCAGGTCCTGGGCGTGTTGCGACAGGTTTTCATCATCCTCGAGCTCCTCCCCTCCCGCTTCATCACCATCTGAAAGCGAATCTTCTACAGTTTCCTGTGGCTTCGGGTCCTCATCGTCTCCCGAAGACAGAATAACGACGTCGGCCTCCTGAGTGACAGGCACGCCATTGCCTTTGGTATGAGTGTCCGATGCACGCTGATTTGGCTGCGCTGACTGTGGTAAAGTGTTTGTAGGCATACCGCGGGATGCGGTAGTGAAGCCAGGTGGCTTCGGCGAGCCTAAATTCGCACTGCTCAAGTGGTTGCCAGATGTCGCGCTTGGTCGAGAAAGACTCTTGTTGTCCGCGACGAGCTCATGCCTTCTCGATGGCGATGTCTCACTCCCATTGTCGACCAACTTGTTTTGCAGCCACCGCGCACCGCCATACTCGGATCGGGGAAGAAACTTGCTCTGACGGCCCCAGTACTTGGGCAAGCTGCTACTCGCTGGCGACGTCGCCGCATGGCCCTTTCCAAAATGCGAGCTGCGAAAGTCGCTATAAGAACGGGCGAGCGAATCATCCACGGAACTTTGACTGAGGCGCAGCGACTCGCGCTCATTCTGCTCACGCAGGCTGCGCAGCGCACTGATGTCGTCCATAAAAGACTTGGTGAGACTGCGACACCTGGCGACAAGAGGATCGTTGCTATCAACGTCGTCGACTTTGGAGACGCTCGACGGTGTGGCCGTGAGTTGTTCGCGCGAGACGGCCCTCTTTTTGCGGTCGGGTGGAGTTGTTGATCGGCTTGCAAAAGATTCCACATCTTCAGAGACTGCATCGCGCACTCGCTTTCTTCGGTTGGGATAGACGTCGTCGGGGTTGATGCCCATGGCGCGAAGGCGAAAGTAGTCTGTCTTGGTCGTACTGATGCGGCCGTCATAGGTGCTGTCTGGGGGGAGAAGTGGATCACCGGCAAGGAAGCTAGCGCGATATCTAAGTGGTGCCTTGGTCACGCGAAAGTCTTCGTTTTGCGGGGCCAGTGGGCGAGACGAGTAGTGGCTCGCGCTCCTGCGCTCAGACAGCGTCGATGGCTCTCCGCGTTCAGATGCTGTTGATGGCGGCCTTGGGGGTGGATCCATTGACCGATTCTGCCGCGCCATGATGTCCGCAATGCCAATGCTTGAGCTAAATGAGTCTTTGAATCCATTACGATTGCTCTCTCGCGAAGCACTGCGCCTCATTGTGCTAGCAGCCATGGTGCTTTTGAATTCCTGAACATCGTTCTCGATTCGGCTGTCACGGGTCCCTCGAGAGGCGGATATGACAGCTGAACGGCGTGCTTTGCGCCGCTCGCGAGCCCGGCGCTTGTGTCTAGCTGCAGCACACGAGTCTTTCCAGAGCTGCACGTAGCGGATCGAAAGCTTGCTGGCCCGAAATTTGCGGGCGAGTGCTTCTTCCTGCTCTTCTTCAAATTGCCGCATAGCATTGCGAATGATCTCTTCTGCCTTGTGCTCGATGAACTGGGTGAGCAGGCCACTGGTGGGTTCGAGGACGAGATTTTTTGTAATTTTTTGATAGGCGCGGGACTTTTCTTCTTTTCGGTCAGGAGCGACTTTGACTCGAAGTTCGTTAGATGTTGTTGCATGGGGAAGGGAGGGTTTGGATGCTGTAGGCGTTGGAGGAAATGAGGTTGTTTGAGTCGCGGAGCTACCAAGGGAGAATTTCGGCGGCGAGGGAAGTGTCGAAGAGCTGCCTGGAGAGAGAGGTGGTGGAAGTTGAGAAGCCTTAGTCGAAGAACCACCGAGTGAGAATGTTGGCGGTTTAGAGGCAGGTTGCGAAGAGGGAGGTCCAGGTGCAAAAGTCCCCAAGTTTAGTGATTGCTTGGTTGAATTGAATAATCCAGGAGGGGGCTGTGGAGGTTCGATCGTCGTCGAAGGCGTCGTTGCTGGTGCGGGAGTAAAGGTCGATGTTGATGATTTGAAATGAATCCCAGAGGTTCCGGAAAGTTGAGAAGTAGTAAATCCGAAAGGATTCTTCGCTTCCGACTCGGAGGGCCGAGACAAATTCTCAGAAGTAGGCATGCTGAAAGGAGTTGATTTTGGAGAACCTGGAGGAGTCGCTGCTCCAGGACCTTGGGCGGTCGGTGGTGGCTGTCCCAGGTTTGAGAGGCCGAAAGGTCTTGAGTCGTTTTGGGTCGAGTTTCCTGACGGACTGAAAATCGAGGGTCCAGCCGCGGAGGCTGAGGGAAACAAAGTTGTGCTTGGTGCCTTGTCAAGGTTAAACGGAGATTGTGCGGAAGATGTAGATGTTGACGTCGGAGACGAGGACTTGTGCTCCGGTTCCGTCTCCTTTTCAACCTCTGTGAAGGGCCCCGGGGTCTTGTTGAAAGGTGATTCTTTGGGGCTTGCAGGTTTGCTAAACACGGACTGTGTAGCGGTAGGCTGACCAAAGGGTGACTTGGCAAAGACTGACCCCTCCGGAGTCTCTGCAGGCTTGCCAAACGAAAAGACTGGGGTGGCAGTTGAAGAGGACGTGGCGACAGACTGGCCCAGAGGTGAATCCGTGGGTTTCGAATCTTCCGCAGGCTTGCCAAAAGAGAAAGACGGGCCAGCAGCCGGCTGTCCAAAGATGGTGGTGCCCCCAGAAACTGCCGGCTTGCCAAATGAAGAGGTTGAGTCCACCGCTTTCCTAAAGCTAGAGTCACCTTCACCAGGTTCGCTCGAGATGGAAGAAATCGTTGGTTGTCCAACGCCGGGGGCTGCATCTGCGGGCTTCCCAAACGAAAATATTGAAGAGTCAACTGGCTTGCCAAAGCCAGAGGCTCCCTCGACGGGCTTGCCGAACGGAAAACCTGGCGCAGTTTTCCCTGCTTTGCTCAACGCCGCAGCAAAAGGATTAACAGGCGGCGCATAAGAGCTCGTGGTCGCGCTTTCAGTCTCAGTGTCTGATTCTTGCTGGCTCACAAAGAGAGATGACTCCTTTGGTGGGCTATTTTCCGGCATCACGGCGTCCTCCACAATCAAGCCACGCTCCGTCGCCTCTTGAACCGTGAGACCATTGATGACAGCCGACAGCGAGCGACCCCAGCGCTTCGATTCGACCAAGTTGTGAGAGCGAAACTGCTTGCGAAGGCCTGCAGCCGCACCAGGGAGATGCTTGCCCTGGACTGACGTCAGGTCGAGGAACTCGGTGCCGTCTGCCTTTTCGTCAATGACAAAGCCGTACGCCTCGCAAAAGGTGCGCGTCTCTTCGTCGTCGTCAAAGGCCAGCACGCGGGTGACCTCTGCCAGCGTCCAATCCTCGGTCCGTGTGTTGCCGCCTGTCCGGTAGGCCTGCCAAATACCATTCAGCGTAGCCTCTCTGACAGACTTGAATTCGATTTCGGAGACGCAGGCCATAAGATACGAAACCTCCGGAGACTCGATGGTTCGAAAAAATCGCGCAGAATTTGCCTGAGCAATTGGGTGAC